CTTTCGGTCGTTAAACCAGGGATTACAAACCTTCAATATGTAGGCACATTTTATATGTATAGTACGTTTCTAGGGCAGGCGGAAAACAGTACATGGACCTAAAGTATTATGTTAGCATCGAAACAAAACGACAGTTATTGCTTCCATATATATTTTTTATAGATTACGTATCGTTACGCGCTAAGCGCGTCTCATGGTACGGGGTAGGGTGAAGGAAGTGGTCATTCAGAGATAATAAGCCTGTTTCGACGCAACTTGCAATAGGTCTCACCCCGTGCGTATTTGAGAAAGCAGATGGAACAGAACTCATTTCTCATTCTGCTTTGGGATGCACTTGCGTTGCGTGTAGATAGTGTTGCGCGCCTAAGTTGACGTCATTTACCCGGCACTAGCGCCATCTAGTGTCAGGGACGAGAGTGAGGGGAGCTTTCCAGAAAATGACATCACTAATGTGTTAAAAAAAACCGACAGCGCCATCTAGTATCGAAACGAAGAACTAAGCTTCTAGAAGCCGACACTCGAACTTTCGGCGCCTTTTCGATTGGTGCGCGTATTTACTTGAATATTCTGGATATTTCGATGCTAATGTGTATTTATAGGCGCTGCAAGATGCGATCGGGGAAGTATTGAATTTGGCGAGCCAAGCGAAGCTTCGGAGCGGAATAAAGTGAATCAGTGTGATTAATTATTAGTGTTTTAAGTTTAATTAGTGTAAAGTGAATTAAAGAGTTAATTTTGGTAATTCTATCGGCAATTTTTATTGTCACCTCAAGCTCGTAACAATTGGTGTCAGAAGTGGGATAAAATCATGCCGATTTTACCTGAGGAGGAAACGGAGGGTGTCCGTACCCGAAGTCAATGCCAGCAGGAGACGGACCAAAGAAGATTTGGTGGTGCAACGCCGTAGACGTCGGAGGGCCAGCCGCTGGCTGCAGGCCCGTCAGTAGCTACTACATCTGCAGCACCTGACTTAGGTGCTCTGATGGTGATGCTGCAGGAGCAGGCTCGCCGACAGGAGGAGCAGGCCCGTTGGTTTAAAGAGCAGCAGGAGGAAACAGGCTCGCCGACAGGATGAACAGGCTCGCCGACAGGAGGAACAGGCTCGTCGACAGGAGGAACGGGTCCGCCAGTTGAAAGAGTAGCAGGAGGAACAGGCCCCCGACAGGAGGAACAGGCCCGTCGGTTGGAAGAGCAGCTCAAGCGCGATAAGGAAGAGCAGATGCTCCTCATGAAGGACATTCACGCTACCTTCGGGAAAGAGATAAGGGAGGTGAAGGATAAGGTTGCTCAACATGACAACCGCCTGTCGGAAGCTGAAACCCGAATCGACCGAGTGAACAATCGGGTTGACAACGTAATGGCTGACATGAAGAAATCACTGGATGAACTCAAACTTGGGGATGGAACTACAGCTCCCGTAGTAGCTACTACACCTTCGCTACGTGGGTTCAAGGTGCCACCGTTCGACGGAACTTCTTCCTGGTCAGCCTACAAAATACAGTTCGAAGCTGTCATGGAGGCGAATGGCTGGAATAAAAGCCAGGCCATGACTGCTCTCACTCTAGGCCTGCGCGACCAGGCCTTAACAGTGCTGGAAGCTCTCGGTGAGAAAGTGACCTACGAGCAACTCCTTGAGGCATTGGAGGCGAGATATGGTGACGCTCACCTGGAACACGTCTTTCGTGCGCGGCTTAAAGATCGCATGCAGCGCATCAACGAAAACCTGCAGCAGTGGGCTCTAGAGGTGGAGAAGCTTGTGCGAAAAGCGTACCGGTCTGTACCTGCGCTCATTGAAGGGAACCTGGTGCAGACATTCATCGACGGCATCCGCGACCTTGAAGTCAGAGCTGCTGTGAGGCTCGGGCACCACGAGACGCTTAAGGACGCCTTGGCCCATGCACTGGAGGTGGAAGCCGTGGGGCAGGATCATCGTTCCCATCGCATCAGGGAGGTTGCAGCAGCTACAGTTCGCGACCGCAACAAAGGATACAGCCCTAGGTGCTATGGCTGTGGGGAAAAGGGCCATCTTCGATCCAGCTGCCTTAAGCGAAGGCAAGAAAGGGAAGTTGAACGATCTCAGGAGGGTAGTGCGGCCAACAGCACCGCCCAGCAGCAGCAGGGAAACGAGTAAAAGCCAGAACTGCGGGGCGGATGCTGGCTGATGTTAAAAGAGCCCCAAGGATCTCGATCTCACGAACCCATGATGGGAACAGTCTAATCATCAAGGGCGAGGTCAACGGAATGCCATGTTAACTGACCATAGACACTGGAGCCTCTCGTACGGTTGTTAGTTCCCAACTTATAAGTCAGTTCCTTGGGGACTCCGCATACAACCTAGAATATTGTTTAATAAATAAATGAATATTGTTTTAGAAAATAAATATCACATGGTCACATAAAAAGAGCGCTTTAAGAAATGGAAATGCTACGTCGTCTCATTTTTACCTATTTGTACGTCCTGCTACGGTTATTATGGGTCGGCAACGTCTCTTTCCACTTGACGTTGAAGGACCGGGTTCTTTACCAGATTCTCCTGAACTCATGTCGATTTAGTAACGACCATCACAGTAAAACTAATATAACAGATTCAACAACAAAAACTTAACGATACAACAAATTTAACAGTAAAAACTCAACTAAAACACGCAAGCGCTATCCGAACACGAATGAAAAAAAATATGGCGACCGGCCCAAAAAAGGTGACGTATCTCTTGCTGCCATTGTCACATTTCTTTTAGAACGAACTGACGTAACGCGCGTTTTGTTCATTTTAAAGGGATAAATTTGCAAAAGCTCAAAATGGTGATGGTGATTTTTAATATGAAACTGTTATTAAATGAATTGCTGCGTTACTTACCTTATATTGAAATATAAAATATAACACATTTTTCGCGATGTACCGTAAGGTTTTACGATGTTTATAGGAACCACAGACAATATTATTTAAGAAACAAAAAAAAAACAAAACATATGTGCTGACCTAGAAGTGTGAATAATATTAATATTTAAATATTGTTATTACATCTAAATTGAGATTTTGTAAGTTACGCCTTTGACACTCGGCTCGTATCTGAGGTCAATGTCCGTTTTTCTCAATCGATTTGGCACATACTATAGTAAGCAAACAATGATTAACCTATAGCAGGTAACGAATTAGTGTCAAAACAGCTTTTAAATCACGTAACAATCATTCCGATAGGATAAACAGTGCAATTTATAAGTGTATAGTTTTTAATTTCAAACTTTAATCTGTTTCCCTGCAAAATTGCCTATATGTCGCTTGGTATTTTTTTTCCTTTCTTTGTACGAGTATAAAGCTTTACGCGGACGAAATCGCGGGTAAAAGCTAGATTTACTGGACGAGAAGGTCCGAGTGCTTTAGGATGTAATAATAAAGCGTACCACTGATTAATTTATTTATTTGTATGGATTTTCCATAGTTATGCATATTAACTCACATTTAACACGCCTTACATCTACAAATTACTATGTAGGTACTACCAATTATAGGAGAACATATCATTCTATAACACTTATTTAAAATGGTAATAATTTTAATGGTAGTTAGACAAAAACAAGTTTAATGAACAAAAGATATATATTTAATAGTTGTTGTAAATACAAAAAGAATATTACCAGTGCTTACCTACATTTCGTTCAGTTTTCTTCATTTCGTTTTTGTTGATTTTACTTTAGCGTATCGCACACTTATAAGGGTTCAAGTAAATTTTAAGTAAATTTTTTGTGAAGTGTTATTTTAAATGTTTAGGATATAAAACCAAATTAATGATTTCTTATATTTACGCGAACACTACACATTGAAATAATACTAGTTTTTACGGAATTTATCGCGTATATTTTAACTTTTTAAATACCCGACGTTTCGAACGCTTTACAGCACTCACGGTCACGGGCAGGACTGAGATGTTCAACGTCCATATGTCATAGTTAACCGCGGTTACCATAGATTAAAATGAGCCCGTGACCATGAGTGCTGTAAAGCGTTCGAAACGTCGGGTATTTAAAAAGTTAAAATATACGCGATAAATTCCGTAAAAACTAGTAATCTTTCAATAAAACCAAATTATCTACCGGTTGCCGCTGACAGAGAGAGAAAAAAGGAAATAATGACTCGGTAAATATACTTGTATCCCTCTCACACTCTCCTCGCTCGTCTCCCAATCTAACCGCTACACGGTCACAACAATTAGTATTAGTGTTTAGTAACTATTATTTAGTATGTAGTGTGTAGTGTCCATACTTGTCGAAGATAGACCATTCAAACGATGTGCAATTCGTGTTTGTGCCCTTATACGACAAAAACAGGTGAGTTTTGTTTTGAATATTTTGTAGTATGTAGAACAATTTGCAGTTTTGCCGTTATATTATACAAAATATAGATTTGGGGTCTAATTTATAATAGATCGCTATATTGTCAAAAACTAAAGATGCATTCTTATTCATTAGAAGTCATTATAGTATGTTTTTTTAATGTACGATGACGTATTTTGAATATAGGCCATTACTTACATGAACAAATCAATTTGTTTTTTAAATTGAGCCTTTTAAATGAACAGTAAAATAATGAAGTTATGGTAAAATTACAGAAATATAAATCAGTATTTACCAGATAGGTGGTATTTCTTGTTTTTGGTATAAGTATTATAAGTTTTAATGGGTTTTCAGAAAAATGGAATCCCGATCACGAAGAATAATGAACCTACTGAAATCACCAAGTCACCGTAGATTGGATTGCGACAGAGAGGATGATTTTTCTTTGGAAACTGAAAATGTAATTTGACTTTTGTCTTTTTGATCGAGTTTTGATTTAATTAATTGTAATTTAGGGTCTTGATTTTATTTACGTTTACAAAGTCGTTTTTTTTGTCAGATTATTTGTGACGAAGAAAAAGAGAACAAACACACCATTAGAACTTATTAGTCCAAAAAAATCAACTTGCGTTACGCAGCAACCAATTGATTATGATAGTTCTAAGGAGATGAGTGATGAAGTAATAGGAAATATTAATGTCATGGCCTCTCCTCAAAAACCTATCAGGCGCCGTCTTTCATCTAGCTCAAGCTCGTCCAGCTCTAGTAGCTCTAGCAGTTCTAGATCTAGTAGCAGTATCTCGAGTATTACTTCATCTAGTACTAGTTTTTCTAATGATCACAACACAGCGCGACCACCTTTAGATGAAAAAGCCGATACACTGCCAGGTTTTTCTAGAGATGAAAACGCCAATCCACAGCCACGTACTTCTAGAGACAATTTTTCTTCACCATCCATATTGACACTGATTTGCAACGATTTGGTGACCTCAATGATGATGACCCCTCTTACATTCAAGAGAAAAACCATCGTCAACGTTTACCAAGCCCAGCAGCTATAAATCTATTGACGATGATGTTCAAACGAAACCAAGGAAACGTAAGCCTGATCCAAAAAAATGCATACAAAACACGCAAAACATTAAACGAAACTTCGGGCAAAGCTATGTAGCCGTACATTCAAAGAAATTGGTCCCTGCTAGTGTTGCCCAAAATCGGTCTTGGTCTTGCAGTCTTGGTCTTGTTCTTGCATTTTTGCAAGACCAAGACCGCCTAATTTTAGCATGACCAAGACCAAGACTGACCGTGCAAGATTTGAGCAAGAACAAGACTAAGCCTGCGAGACTCTTGCGTCTTGCAGTTAGGAATGAGTGTCGTTTCAGGGAGTATAGGAGTTCGGGAATACGCTTAGGGACTCTATGAGACGCAAAAAATATATAAAAAAAAATTTGGAAAATTGGACTTATGCGCATTACGAACAATACCATAAACATACAAAGCGGATGAAAATATCCATTAAAAGAAAAAAACAGTGCATCCCTAGTTTTGACCATCGGCACTTAGATAGTGCGCGGCGTCTTGTTGTCGGCATCATCAAAGGTCGAATATTGACCTGTCAAAGAAATTTTGCAGCTATTCGGAAGTAAAAGGTCAAGATACACGCGCCGGCGGTTTCTATGGATATCTCATTCAATCGTTGCCGCCGCGCCGCACGCACTACATTTGACACTGTTTGAATGCCGTCACAGAGTACATGTTCCAAAGAATAAAATAAGTTTCCGGGTGCTCAGAATGGACACGAATACATTATGCTGATCTCGCAAGGAATATTGTAATTAGATAATGGTAAGGATAGGTAGATACCATAATAATTTATTCTAGTAAGTAATTATTATAATATTAACTATATGGGTTTATAATAATTACTTACTATTATTATTATTACCCAATAGATAAACATGTTCAATAAGTTCACTGCAAATCTCGATTTTTGGAAGTGTGTGTTTTTGAACACAAAGTGTTCGAATATGTCGTCACCCATTTGATAAATATTGTAGACACTTTTAACACACTTGAAACGTGTAAACATTTTGTACAATGCTAATCGAATAATATAAAAAGTGTGCATATTAAATAAAAAGCGTAAAATAAGATCTATGTACTTTTTAGGAGCCCGAGTATCTCTTAGAGAACCGTTTAAAGAAATTGATTGCATCGAATTGATGTAAATAATAGTGATTTGCACAATTTTAATAGTAGAAATAAAAATAAAATCACAATACTTGCTTTCCGGTTACACAAAGTATATAATGCGTTCTTGGGTAGCGATATACGCTTTTATAATAAGATTCCAAAAGAAATGTTAGATCTTTCACCTTTTCAATTTAAGTCAGACAAAAATGCTTCGAACTGACCTCTCGTACTACACAGGACTAACTAGAAATATCTAAACCGATTTGGTATCTACATATACATTTGACATTTTATGTTTGACTTATCGCTTTACATAATTATAGAACTATTGTAAAAATATTTTGAAAAGAGCAACTACTAAGTTTCTTACTTTCTTCCATGATTCTTATCAGTAGAATCAGAACCCCTGGACATGGAAAAGAAAAAAATTGGGGAAAACAGTGATTATATGACTATTCAAAAGTGTATTTTTAATGCCTACTTGAATAAAACATATTTGAATTTTGAATTTCAAACGAGTGAAGGCCAATTTAATTTAATTAACGTAGATTAATTCAATCACAAGAAGAACATAATATACACAATTTTATTTACATATTTACATTTCATTTTTACGTAGGCACACTATACCTATCTGGCGACTAAACCGTTTTTTAACACCCAATTGAGAATTTAATAAAGGCCATTTGCTTCGAGTCTTACAATGTATTTTTTAATTAATTGTTTTTACTCTAATCCTTGTTGTTCTTGGAGTGATAAGTTTACAATTCTGAGTGACGAAGAGTCGAATAGTTCTAGTCGGAGTAGTGAGTGTTGGAGTTATAGATCTAAAAGACCTAAAAGTAAATTTGATGAGTTTTTCGACATAATTCATGCATCCCAAATTGCTTTGTGTAAATTATGCCAACATAAAAAGGTTGAAATAAAAATGAAAAACAGAAACACTTCAGGCTTAAGGAAGCATCTCATATCTTTCCACAAAAAGGAATCACAAATATTTCTTCCAGAAAAACCAAAATTAAGTGGAGATATCCCAAGCTTTTTAATAACCACCGGAAAAAGTGGATAGCTAAGAAAAAATATGCTTATCACACAATTACATAACACATATATTATGTAACTAGCGGCCGCCTGCGACTTCGTCCGCGTACAATGTCTGATTTCCTATGAGATTTTGAAATTTCCTCGCTGCAAAAGTCTTACCTAAGTATAAAGAGGCTATTATAGGTAAAGCTTAACTATGCAAGTATTTATTATTTAAAACTAATAAAGTACTTAAATGTCAATCTTCATATCTATACTTTAAAAATATAGGACTTGCATGTAACCATTTTACCCCAATTTCACCCCCCTTAGGGTTAGGATTTCGTAAAACAGCTTATATTTTATTATTGAAAACTTATAACTTTAATGCCGATTTTCGTGTCTTTAACTTCAAAAACGTAGGACTTTCATACAAACTTCCAACGCCCATTTAACTCCCTTAGGGATAGATTTTCTCAAAACCGTTTCTTAACTGATCTCTATGCCATAAAAGGACCTACCTTACAAACTTCAAGTTTGTATGTTCTATAGTTCCTGAGATATCGTTATAGTCAGTCAGTGAGTGGTAGTATATATATATACATAGCTTATAGTGTTAAATATGTATTTATAAGTCACTCATATTTTCATTTGTTTTTATAATCGGCGAGACACATGATTTACTGTTTTATTTCAGTCTGAAAATAGCAGTGACAACATCACGACAGCTACAGTTGATTGGATGGTTAAAAAATATCTTCCCTTCTCATTTTTCAATGACGAAGCTACACAAATATATTTTCGATCAATTTGCCCAATTTGATCGAAAATATATTTGATCTGCAGAGTAAATTCAAGCTCAAAATGTGCCTACTCTGTTAAGTTGTTCTAAGATCTAAAGTAACGTTTAATAAATAACAATAGGCTAATAGGTAATTGCGAGTCTTGCGAGACTCTTGCTGCAAGACCAAGACCAAGAACAAGACTGAGAGCGCAATACCAAGACCAAGAACAAGACCAGGTGTATTGGCGCAAGACCAAAACCAAGACTGGCTAAGTCTCGTCTTGTTCTTGCATTTGGGCAACGTAATATTGAACCACCTTGTGGGCAAAACTGAAGATTAAAATGCAGTGATCGTATCGATAATTACATACATAAAACATAACATAAACACTCACGCCTGTCACCCAGAGGGGTAGGCAGAGACTATGGACTTCCATTTGGCATGATCCTGACATACCTCTTTCGCCTCCTTTACATCCATATATCTACGCATACATGCTCGTCGGTTAAGGGTACTTCTAACGTGGCCCCTTTTCAAAATATCGCCAATTTGGTCGATAAACTTTTTTCTAGGGCGTCCCTTCTCGACTCGGCCGTTCACATCTGCCATATAAATTTGCTTTGTCACTCTTTCCTCATTCATTCTTTCTACATGACCAAACCACCGAAGCATTCCTTTCTTAATCCTGGTCACAACATCATCTTGCATACCACATTTATCTCTTATCACGCAATTTCTCACCCTGTCATTCAGATTCAACCCTAGCATACTCCTTAAAGACCGTATTTCTACAGCATTTATTCTACTTTCGTGCTTCTTCTGCCACACCCAGCTTTCACTACCATACATTAAAGTAGGGACTAACACAGCATTATGAATTACCATACGTGCCTTTTTGGACACATTCTGATTCTTCATAATAGAGTGTAGTGCCCCATTCACTCTATTCCCTGCATATACTCGTCGTTCTATATCCCTATCATATCTACCATCCCTGCTAAATACACATCCCAAATACACAAACTCATCCACTTGCTCAATTAACTCTCCATCTATACTTATTTCACATACCGTTTTTCTTTCTTCTCTTTCAACAAAACCATCACTTTCGTCTTACTTGCGTTCACTTTCATTCCCCTTTCTTTTAATTCCCAGTTCATTAATGTAACCATCATTTGCAACTCAGCCGCCGATGACGCAAATATGACTTGATCATCGGCATACAAAAGGCATTTGACGGTTAACTCGCCCATTCTTAACCCACATTCTTCATCTTTCAAAGTTTGCAAACACCTGTCCATAAATAGGTTGAATAGCCAAGGGGAAGCTACACAGCCCTGTCTGACACCTTTTTGGATGCCAAACCAGTCCGAGTAGACCCCATTGATCCTGACACAAGCACTAGAGTCCCTATAAAGAGACCTTAATGCCCGTATCAAACCAGCGCTCAACCCACATGAGTTCAGTGTTTGCCATAACACATTCCTGTCCACTCTGTCATCAGCCTTTTCCAAGTCCATGAACGCACAAAAAACTTTCTGGTTTTTTGGCCAAAAACTTCTCCGCAATCATGCGCATGGAAAAGACTTGATCTGTACACCCCATTCCCTTTCTAAAACCCGCTTGCACATCCCAAATTTTTCCATCAGTTTCTTTCATAACTCTTTCAATTAACACCTTAGCATACAGTTTACCCACAATACTAAGCAAGCTGATACCACGGTAGTTTTTGCAGTCCCGCTGTGACCCTTTTCCTTTATATATTGGTACTATAACTGCTTTACACCAGTTATCCGGTACCCGTTTTAATTCCCAACATAAATTAAACAAGGTGTACAGCAGGCCTGCCACCACTCCCTCTCCAGCCCTTAGCATCTCGAGTGATACTCTATCATATCCAGCTGCCTTACCTGCTTTCATGCTTTTCATTGCTTTCATTATTTCATCTACACTTATCTCCATACCCCTTTCTACTTCTTTCGGAATTTCTAGTTCATTTAATTCAGACGACTCTTCACTCATAAACACGCTTTCAAAGTATTCCTTCCATCTGTTTAAAT